GAGAGATTGATGGGGGGAGGAAGAGAGAGAGCAGGGAAGAGAAGGGAAGAGAGAGTTGGAGGTAGGCTAGATTGATGGCATATAGGCTAGGGTATGCATTAGGCTGCCAATAAAAGTAAAATATGAGTGTGTGTTTTTAAAAAAATCATTTAATCAAATTTAAAAAGAAGCAATATGTCTGAGTTTAGAGAAATAAATCATAACTGCACTCCAGGGGAACAAACTTTGTACAGTCCTCTGACACACCTGGTTTTTTTATACAGAGAATACATTGAGACCCAGGAAGACTGACTATATATCAAACACAGGAATCCGTCCCTCCATGGACAAGGCAAACGGTCAGATCAAATCTCCGAGGGAAGTCTTCGTAATCCTGTACACGTGAAGGGACCTGTTAGTCCATTTTTCTCCCATGTATATTAGGAAAGAAAAAAACCAAACAAACAGAGAGATAGCTGTGTGTGACAGTTAACGATTTATTGCCATGTGCTCATTTTAGGCTCTTAATGTAAATAAAAGGAGTTACTCTTCTGGCTGGAGTGAATGGTCCTGATCATCAGGCAGAAACTGGGCTGCTACTACACAACAGGAAAAAGGAGAACTATGTCTGAAAGCCAAGAGACTCCGTGGGTTTCTAAGAAGTACTCCATGCCCAGAAATAAAGGTCAACAGACAACAAAGTTGCAGCAAGGTTTTCCATGGTGGTTCCAGTGCCATCCCAAGTGACTGCCGCAGGGCAGGTGGCTTCTCCAGCCTCAGCTTCCTGCCCTGCAAGCACAGAGGGAGGGGCCTCTCCAGCATCCGGCTGCGGAGCACCTCCATCTTGCATGGTGCCCAGTTCCTGCAACAGAACCAGCTTCTCCATCGCAGCTCCAGGCTCCTGTAGCATGGAAAGCTTCTCAGCACCAGGAAAGCAGAACAGTAGTACCCAGCAGCCACCCATCAGCCAGCAGCTTCCCCTGGCAACCCTCTGGGGCTTTTCTGTAGCACAGTACTTCTAATCAGACGCTTCTCCATGAAGAGATTGCCCAAGCACCCTATAGGGCAGATTTCTAGCAAGTTCCAGAGGGCAGATGTCCATCAAGTTCTGCTAGAGTAGCACTATGCAGCCTCTCGCCGTTCAGTGAGATGTGGTGTGCCTTCTCTAATGAAGTCTGGATCACAGCCCTAGTGGGGGTTCCTTTTGGGCATCCTATCTCAGCCCTGGAAGTAGCCTGCTCCTTAAATCTGCTCTTCCTCTCTTCTTCCAAGTGCTATGAATTCTACTAACCAAGTCTTCATTACTCCAATCCCCCGGTACAGTTAATAACAGTTCATCAACTTTCCTTGTCCAAGTTACTCTGTGTCCTAGGAGCAATGAGCATACCTGGCAAGATTCTCCTTTCCAAATGCCATATTCCAATAGCAGTCGAGGGCTGAGGCAGAAAAATACAACATGGCCTTGGAGTATTCTATAGTACCAGTAAGGAAGGAAGTGCTCAACAAACAAAACAAACAAACAAAAACCAAACAGACAGAAAAAGGATAGGGGCACGTCAAAAGGACACAAGAGTGACCTGAAATAGCTCCCAATCTCCAAAGCAGGAACAATTTGAAAAACAAAATCACATAATATTGGCTTATAAACCAAAATTCCATATAAATATCTAGAGTCCATATTGACATAAAGCTTGAATAAGTGGGAGAAAGACAAATCTTCCTGACAGAAGAATTCTAAAGAACATATATAGGGACTCCCCCTCAAAGACATGAATGTAATTCCTGCCCTTCACCCTTGAGGGTAGCCTAGACTTAGACTCGCTTCCAAAGACTAGGAAAAGGGAAAATATTAACTTTATGTGGAGAAACATGGTGTACACTATGCATCAGCAAATGATGAAGTTTAACCAAGTGATGACATCATCAGTGATGTCACATGAACCTTATGATACCCCTGATATGATGTGATGAGCAGGGTATTTCAGCTCTGGGGTATTCTTTTCAAAACACATAACCCTAGCCTAATCATGAGAAAAAACACTAGATAAACATAGACCAGGGGACAGTCCACAGGATACTTGGCCAGCACTCCTCAAGATTGTCAAGGTTAGGAAAAGCCAAAGATGGCAATTGTCATAAACCATGGGAGACTGGGCAGACATGAGAATGAAATGCAATATGGTGCCCTGGATTGGATCCTGGAACAGATAAAGGACATTAATGGAAAAAACAATGAAATCCAAAGTCTGAGGTTTAATTAATAGTAATGTACTAATGTCAGTTTCTCAATTTGACAAACTAATGGTAAGATGTTAACAAGGGAAAAACTGGATGCAGGTACATGGTAACTCTCTGCTATCCTTGCAACTCTTCTGTAAATCTAAAATGGTTCCAAAATAAAAGGTTTGCCTTAAAAAAATTTATTGTGGTTTCTGTCTCCTGATGGGACCCTGACTGATGCAAGCACCTAGTCTGATTATCAAGGCAGTCATTCTATGGACCTAACAAACATCATCCAATATATTCATAACCATAACCAGAGAGGGAGAGAACAGGGAAATAGAACCCTTGGAAATGAGGTCATTTATTTTTTTAAAGATTTATGTATTTGAGAGAGAGAGAGTGCACATGAGGGGGGAAGGGGCAGAGGGAGAGGGAGAGAGACAATCTCAAGCAGACTCCCCACTGAGCGTAGAGTCTGATACCTAGCTGGATCCCAAGACCCTGAGATCATGACCTGAGCCGAAATCAAGAGTCAGATGCTTAACGGACTGAGCCACCCAGGCCCCCAAAATGAGGTCTTAATTTAAACTGCGCTACCTAGTAGATTACTCAAACCTGCATTTTGTTTCAAGAATTACTTGGCTTAGAATAATTAAATGACACACTTTCTAACAAGTGATAATTAGAGGAACTGCTGCAGACAAAGCCCAGGTAAACCACACCCAGTGCTCCAGCTCAGAACAGCATTTGCTCAGGTGTTTAAACAAAGGGTCAGAAATGTTTTTCTCAGAGCATCTTTAAAGACCTCAGCTATCTACCAGTGTTTATTTACGCTTTTGGTCATTATAGAGCCAAAACAGAAGTTGTAAAGAAGAGACTGAAGATTGCATCAATATCATATTCTAGGATGGAAAGAATATGTGTCCTCAGAATTCTAGAGGCTTCATTAAAAAATCAGTAAACTCCAAAAGCAAGCAACAAGTTATTTTCTAGCAACCCTAAACTCCAAAATAAAGAAACAGTTTGTTTTCTAGAAGGCCTGAATCAATTCTGGAGAGCCTGAAACTCATGTAGCCTTTTGTTTTCTTCACACAAACACTCATCAGTCTGATCTCTCAGCTGGAGGCGGGCTGTGGGCTCCTTAGGACACTAACTCTGAATACGACTGCAACTATTCTATCCCACAGCATACTCGCCCTGGAATTAGGCACAAACCTCACTTTTCAAACGAAGAATACATCCACTCCTTTCATTCCTGCTAGTTGATAGAATAATGTTATTTTTCTTCAAAATGTGTAGGCACAACTGATTTTTAAGCTGGAAAAGTTAATGAAAGCAACATTGCATTTGAGGTCAGTGGGCCAGAAAAATGGCTGTGAGCCAAATCCCACATCCCAAACATTTTGCCTCCGCGGCATGTGAACAAAATGCCCACTCTCCTCCTGATCTCCAGCAGAAGCAAAACAAAACCCTGCAAGACAGTTATCCATTGGAATTGGAAGCTTTTCAGGGGCAGAAACACACACACACACACATACACACTCCCTGTTTAAGACACAATAAAAAGGCTCTTTCACACAGAATGTTCTGTGCACAGACAGCACAAGGGCTACCCCTGGAGATGCTGTTTTAGGGACAGCCAAGAGATCACAAGCTTAAAACAAGCAGTTTTTACAAGATACACAGTAATCTCCCCAATTCCAAATATAAGCAAGAAAGAATTCTTAAAGCCAGTTTATCTAGTTGGCTTGAAATCCCTTTGGACTAGTTGCGGAAAATTGTGCAGTAGAAATGAGGACGAATTTGTGTTGTCATGAGATCCTGCTGATTTTTTAAAACTATGATTTCCTTTCTCTCAATGTAAAATTTCATGCATCAGAATTCAGTTGCACTTGGACTCCCCCTCACATTTTTCAAAGCAAAAAAGCAGTACAAAGAAACAGGAAGTATCCACAATTACACATGCAGCAACGAGTTAGCCAGAAAACTGAAAGTTTTAACTGTGAAATTTAGAAAAGCAACTGTATTACATGACATTCCACTGCTTAATCCTCTTAATAAAGAATAGGAGGTTTTAAGTGCAAGCTGCTTACAGTCCAAAATATCATTATGTTAGAATTATATAAATTATATAAATACAATTAGATTATATATATATATTCTAACTGTATAAATATGTTAGAATTATATAAATTCTAACATAATGGAGACAAATTATATACCATATTACAATTTGATTTAATACCAAAATGTTCATAAATTTTCAGTTATTACCAATATTTCTCCTCCATGTTTTCTGAATGAGTACTCATTACTTGCATCTCAGAATTCAGAGGTAAATAAATATATTAAGCATTGAAAATATCAATTTTACTTCTGACTTAAAGCCAACAGGTGATACATTTTAATCACCAAGGAAGAATGCGAGATAAATGAACCTGTAAACACAGCAGTTAGGATAGAATAGTTATGTAACCAGAAAACTGCTTTACTGAACTAAGGAACCTCAATTCTGGACCCTACTCTGGAAATCATATTCATATTTACAGATGTATCCGCATCAGATTATTGAAATCTCCTTCTTTCCAAGTCCTTTTCTTTATCCTCAATTAACAACAGTTCTGTATATAACACATATACTGATTTAAAAGAAACTGTATTCCTGAGCTGGACTCAGAATCCATACCATATTCTGCATAGGGAACAAGAGGGAAACCAGGGGTTCAGGATAATCTGCAGACAAGGGAGCCCATACAGCAAAAACGCGCCGAGACAGACAAGAGCAGGTGGAAACTTACCACTGGAGCAGTTGATCCCACCCCAGCCAGGCTCACACTGACAGGTGTTTGGAGCAATGCAGCGACCGTGGACACATTTATCAGCACAGTGGGCTGTCAGAGAGAAAATCAATCAAATAAGGAAAGTTGGCACAAGAAAAAAAAAAACAAACAACAAACCAACAACACAGCTGTTTCACATCCCAGTGTCAAGTATCACTTAAAAACAACATGCATGCTTGATAATTTCCTTCAGTCCATTCCTTGGCCCTCTCGTGGTCTGCTGTGTGACCAAACAATTCCCCTTCTTATTTTGAGATCTCCAAATAAATTCCTTCATTTCTACTATTTAATTCTACTTCATGCCAAATTAGGAAAGAAGTTTCAAGGAAAACTGCCCAGCCCACATTAAAAAAAAAAAAAAAAAAAGATCAATGACTATCCAAGAGTCAATTGTCAATGACTACTTGAACTTTTTGTTTCAGGAGGAGCATATGTGGATACAGGGACCAAACCAAACCCAAAGCAAGATATGAGGACTCTGAAATGGCAGAGTAGACGGAGGGGTATTGCCCTCACATGATACCTTCACTGGAAACAAAAGTCAAATTTCTTTGGGCACATGTCATTCACAACTATGACACAGCAGAAACAGGCACTCTTTTTCTATTGACAAAAGTATTCAAAACTGTCACCCAGGTCTTTAGGAAGTAGTCAATTCTGATTTCTCTTTCATTAGTGAATACCTCAGGTGTGACCCACCCCGGGGAAGTCAGGGTTATCATTGCAAACATGAGTGGATGGGTCGTCTGAGGGTTTCTAAAGCAAAGGTCCATGGCCCCATAGAAAGGAACATCAAATATATACTGTGCTAAATGTTAACATTGCCTTCAACGTTAGCACCACTCACTTTGATTAAACATTCTTTAAAGTACCTTGAAATATGAGTAATTGTGAGAACCACATGGCATAGTTGGGGGTTCAGATATTCTAAAATTTTATGTAAGGATGGGATAAGGTATCCTATGCTTTACAGATAAGTTTTATTAATGCATACCTTATTACAATAGTAAAACAGATTTACTGTCTAAATGTGAAATACCAAAAAGCAAAATAAACCTATCTCTGATTCCATCAACTCATAACATTTCTGTTTATGCAGATCCTTTCAGGAAAATTTCCCTATATTTTTCTCTCCTCAAGGGGGGGAAAAAAAAAGGATCATAATATTTTTCAATTTTCCTTTCCACTCAATATAATGGTGAAAATCTTTCCATGTCATTAAATATTATTTTAGGTGATTTAAGCAGTGTTGTATGATTATAATTTATATTGTGTATATATACTGTATATATAGTGTACATACCATGATATATATACATGTATAGTATATATATTTACATGTGTATATATATGTGTGTGTGTGTGTATAATTATATATTATATATTTTCTGGACCCAAACCAATAACCACTTCTAAGGTATTTATCAAAAAAATTCAGACATGCAGAGATAATAGAAGGCATTTTAGATGAAAAGAAAGCAAAAAGAAGGGGTAGAAAGAAGTCAAATGGAAATGAGAAGATCTGCTTGGGTGCAACGTTGGGAGCAAAAGCTTTGGAAAGATACAGACTTTGAAAACCAAACTAAGGTGTTAGGACTTTATTCTGAGAATTAACTGGGAATACTCTAATGAAATATACAGAATTATTACAACAAGCAGGTAGAGGATATCACAAGGGAATAAAGCGACCATAAACTTAAGGAACTAAAGGCTCACTTCCTTCACCAGGATAATTATTTAGCCCTCAGGCCATTGGGGACGGATGCCAGGCCAAGTGAACTTGGGGCCTCGGGCCAGAGTAGAGATATTGACACTAGCATTTCAAGGAGATGCTTACAACTCCCCAATACTGGATTCAGACAATCATATATTAGATTGTAAGTAAAAGTAAGATCAGCTTGTAACATATGAACACACCGGCTCGACAAAGGCTGACACATGCGGCCAGGTTAAGTCAATAGATGCCAACCTCAGGGTCCACTCTCTCTTCCCATTTCCATGCCCATGTTTGATATTGTAGATGTGCCGTTCATTTGGAAGGTCATAGCTCCGTACTGTTCTTTGAAGTGTAGCTGTGCACATACAAGCCAGCAAACTACCATAACTGGAGTATGGAAGGGTCCATTAAATGCCACGAAAAGCTCAGGTCTAACCGTGCCGGGGGCATATTCTGGATCACACTGGGCGCTATGGCAGCATGCACACCCCAGGACACTCCCACCTTACTGGCAACACCGACGCCCACCGTAATATGTAAATGTGAAAGCGCTTTGTCTCACTTGACATCTCTGTTTGCAACATAATTGCAAACATCAGTCTTCAGACCCACATTTACCCATTTCTCCTCATTCAAGATACTAAAACTATTTAAAACTCCATTTGCGAATCTCGAGTTTTAAAGATCCAATACTAGTCGCCTCTACTATGAAAGAAGCATTGTCTGGTACTGTGCATTTAAAAGAAAATGCAGAAATCGGTCATGGCGGTTGAAGAAAAGAAGTGTCACCCATCGCCTCAAATTCCAAAGTTTTGAGATCGCTGAGTAATCATACGAATGCTCTCATGTTTGATTCCTGATGGGACAAACTTGGTGTTTTATGAAATGAATACCAAGAAGTCCAGTCAGTTGGAATAGATAAAACAAAAGTCCTGCGATGGTAATTGAAAAATCCAGATTATTTTATAGAAGCCTTGAACTAACATTTGGCCAAAGTCTGGAGCAAACTGTCAGTAGATAGTTAGCAGCAAACAAATTGATCTGTAAATTAATGAGAAACTGGAAGGGGGACTCTGCATTCCTAATGATTTTTTTTTCTTAATTAAAACTAAAGCCAATGGAATCACCTCTGAGCATTGAAGCCTCAAGTCAAATAATTAACTGAGTAATGGGAAATATTGTTGGGCATAGATTCCAAATGGAAAGAACACAAATTCTATAGCCACAGTGCAGGATCTTCCCACAACATTAGACTCTGTCACACAGTGCCGTGTGCGTTCCATGTCCTTCCTTAACCCACCAGGTTGGACCCCCACATCTAGCAAGAGACTTCACCCAGTAACAGCTAGCCCAGCAGGAGCAAAGGGAGACATCAGATGAAAAGAGAGTAAGCTATAAAACTCTATGTCCTCAAACGTCCCAATTTGCCAAATGGCAGGAACGCTCACTATGGCATATGTACGGACAAGCACAGACCCTCCCCCGAGGACATCAGTGGAGCTCGATCCCTACCCTAGTCTCATCTTTCCTCATTTAGCTTCAGATGCCACCTACTCTGGAGACCCAGCTTCCATAACTAACAAACTCCACGTGAGAAACCAAAGTAAGATAAAGACATCGATTTGTCCTGTAGAAAATCCCAAAGTGAACTAGAAAGAGAAAAGGAACAGAGGTCCCTCTTAACCAATGTTTAATCACTTAGATTTCAAGAATAGGTACAAAAAAAAAAAAAAAAGAATAGGTACAAAAGACCCATCATAAGTGTGGCTCTCACAACAATGGAAAACAGTCATTTTATTCCCTATTCAGGTCCTTTCTTCTTATTTTTAGAAGGGCAATTACAATCAGGAAAATATCTATTCAATATGATTTATTTTTCACACCTCCCTTTAAGAAAATCATCACATTTCATAGTCTGAGTTTTTAGTTGTCTTTTTTAGAGACCTGATATAACCCTGCACCCCACTAAATGCACGGGTACAGACTCATGACTTGTGAGGGGCAGCCAAGGCATCTTCCCCCTCAAGAACTAGCAGGCAAGAGATACTGATGAGAAGAACATGCCACATCTTTGAAGTGAAAGCTGTGGACAGTCTGTCTGCCCGACGGACAGGTGAAGACTGACATGATGACCCTAGGATCTTCTCTAATTAGGCTCCTATTTCAGCCTTAGTTCCTAAATTCATTTAAATCCCATTTACCAGTGCCATGGACCTCATTCCCTTCACTTGTAAATACTTGGCTTTAATACCAAGAGCCACTAACTATACTCAATAGTTTTCTCTTCTGCCACATACATTTCACTTTGGATTTACACCTAGGGTATGGCAAAAAAAAAAAAAAAAGAGTGGGCAGACTAAAGATTCCTTTATAAACCAATTATATCTCCTAATACAGTACTTATTGTTGTTCTAATGGACATACTATAATCAATTCATTTAATTTGAAAAATGTTTCCATGATCCAAGTATCTCTTGAAAATAACTATCCAGAAGAAATACAAACCTTCCAGCTAACCCATCTTTCCTCAGAAATTCCTTTTATTCTGATATTATAAATGAATAGCATAGATCACAAATCTTGCTTGCACTCTTTACGCTGAGTTGCTATAGAGGAACATCTATTTTTAGAGTTAAAGTTGCCTTTACTGAACATAATTGCCACATTTTTTTCAGACAAGGAATCCGAGGGTAGGTACATGGAATGGTTTTCCCAACATTCGTAGCTGGTGTTAGAGGCAAAAGTAGGATTAAACTCTAGTACCTGACTCGCAGTAGACCAAAACTTATGATGGGTTTTAAGAGAGGTGTGGGACAGTGTGAAAGGGATGGTAGAGGTGATGCTGGGTCCCATACTAGGGCAGGTGAACTAGATGGCTAGGAGTCATAAGTTAGAAGCTTCAAATGAGGAAGAGAGAGAAAGCAGAGGGTTGACTTGTAAGATAAACTGTATCCACGCCATATTTTTGTTTGAGGCCAACTATATAGTCATTACAAAACTCTAATTGCTGTTACAGTGTTCAGGTGCAGACAGGAATAATCTTGTTTTCCTACATCTATATTACATTGCAGCCTACCCCACTGTGTTTGTTTAGAAAGGGGAAGGGAGTTCTCTTCCCTTCAATTTAATGTTCACTGACGTTAGCAGGCACATTTTTAGGGACTACTGTGGATACAGAGACAGCAGACCAGGAACTCTCCCTCTTCACAGAAAGTCAAATACAAGCTCCTCAAACTCAACAGACCCAGAGCAGAATGCAGGGGTATGAACAAAATACTGTGAGAGCATATTCAACAATTCCATTCCCATGAAATGTCCCAAAGGTAAATCTATA